GCCCTGGGAAGATAAGGGGACAGAGGGGGCTGATTGGATGTGCTGCTGTTTAAGGCAAGGGTTTTGATGGGAGAGAGGGAGAGAGGCCTAAAGCAAGCAATGGGAAGACTGGTATGCAAGCTAGCGCAGAGGCTGTACGGAGGAGGGAGAAAGAGGGGTGCGATACATCGACTACTCACTCCATAAAACCCCCATGGATTTTATTTTGGCTGAAAACAGTTCTGACAAACTGCAATCCCATCTGGAATGTTTTGGCAGAACTTCTAAAAGAGAAAGTGTTTGTAATATCTTCAGAACAATATACGTTTTCCATTTCATGCACATGGTTATTTCAAACCAATTTCTAAACTTGTAATACTTAAAAAAGAACATCCAGTTGATACTTTTGAATGGAATCATTCATCTTCTGGTATCAGAAGGAAAATGTGATTTGGACTAGTGCCATTGTAAAATGTTGTAAATATACGACAGCAATTGCCCTGTTTCTTCCCTGCTTGTATAAACGTGCATAGAAACAAAGGTTGTGGTCCTGGAGCATCACTAGCTGAGCACTTAACTAGTTCAAGGGTTTGTTTGCTTTTTGTTGACTTGCCTTTTTGCAGTACTGTATGGCAGACTACAGTCCCAGGAATTTCCCCTTTTAAGAGTGGCCTGCAGGGATCAGTCTTGGATCCTATTTTGTTACCCTTTATAGTCTTTCATGAGTGCCCTAATTCATGATCAGGGTTTTCAGTTCAGTGTTGTACTGATGATACTCAGGTCTTTGGTTTTTGTGGTCCTTATGATAATGCATGGTCAACTGTGAAGGAATGTCTTATTAGAATTTTGTCTTGGATGTCTTCTCATCACTTCAACTTGAATAAGGTATGTGGCTTTATCGGTAGTTTTCCGGCAGATGTTGCTGATTCCTTTCTTCATTACCCGACTCTAATCTAGAATAGGGTTGTTCTGGACCTTCAACATTATTCTCCTGTTTTGTTACTTCCCAGGACTCTTTAATGGCTCCCAGTTTAAGCTACTGGTCGTTATATTTATTGCCCTCTGGTTGTAACACCTCCAGTGTCTGTCCTTATTGCTTCCTACATATTCTTCTGCACAGACTCTTCTGTTTCTGATTCCAGGATTGGGGTCTCCAGCTCTGGGCTTTTAGGGAACTGGCCCTGTGATGTGGAATCAGCTCCCTCCTCACCTCTGTGAAGGTTTGATGGCCTTTAAAAGGTGTTTCAAGATCTTTTTATTTAATGAGGAGGTTAGTGCAGGGTTTGGTTATTTTATCTACCACTGTATCATTAATTTTGGTAGTTTTCAGATTGCATTTATTTTATATTAATTATGATTGCACATGCACTCTACAATATCATAAAGTATTTCTTTAAATAGATATGGATATTTTTGTTGATTTAAGTTGTAAATATTGGCTTTACTGGATTTGTTAAGGTGTGAACTAATTTTATTGGAATTTTGTACCTAGTATGTTTTTCTGTTGTAGGAATTCAGGCATTGTGACTTACAGTTTACTATGTTGAACAACCTACCCAACTGTGCTTAATTCAATAAACCATAGCTTATTGGCATCCGTGAAATAGTGATGAAAGAATGTGGAGACCTGGAATGTCTTACTGAGAACTGGGTGGGCAGCAATGGGGATGTAGCCTTATCAGAAATATGCTTAGCTGGGTTTCAGTTCCTGTAACACCAAGGCTGGGGAGAAGAGATTGTTATGATGGTGCATGAGACTTTAGCAGTTGTAGAGAGTACTGCACAGGAGATAATTGGATATGTGTATTTGTGCATGAAACAGGGCTGTTCAGACAAGCTATGGCTGCTGCCTAGCTGCCTCCTAACAGGCCTCCATGAGTCCTGATTCTCAATTCAGGGCTAGTATTTGAGTTCCCAAGACTTCTAGTTTTCAGTGGTTTCAACCTCCTTGCCATGGAGGAGGGATCCAGTGTAGCTTGTGTGTTTACGGCTCCCAAAGCAACGATGGGCTTATAATAAGTAATAGTGTCTCAACTCATGTGGGAAGATCTGGTCTTTACTTCAGAGCAGAAGCAAAGGACCTGAAAATGAAGGACATTATGATCATTCTTTTGCCATGGTCAGTTCACTCCCTCATCAAATTGCAGATAATGAATAACCTGGACCTCTGAAAGGGTGGAGAACCAATTATAATGGTCCATCCCAGGTACCGTTATAAAATGTAATAGCAGTAATACAACAGTACACTAAGAAACAACCACAACATACAAACCCATACCAAAAGACTTTCCCCTCATCACTAGTATATTCCCAAGTCTCTCTGGAAAACCCAGGTTTCAATGACTTTCAGAAAAACAAACAGGGTGGGAATGAATCTAATCTCAGATAGAATGCTGTTCCAAAGAAGGGGGCAGCAACAGAAAGGCTTTTCTCTGTGTTTCTTGAGGAAGACATTCTGCCGCCATCACTCTAAGTCAGTGTTGTCCAAACTTGGCCACTTTAAGATG